CTCAAACTTGTTATCACCCTAGCCGGGCGGTGGTGGCGCACGCCTTTAATCCCAGCACTCGGGAGGCAGAGCCAGGCGGATCTCTGTGAGTTCGAGGCCAGCCTGGGCTACCAAGTGAGTCCCAGGAAAGTCGCAAAGCTACACAGAGAAACCCTGTCTCGAAAAACAAAAACAAAAACAAAAAAAAAAAAAACTTGTTATCACCCTGTCTCGGGCTCCTTAGTACAGGATTACTAGCACAGACATACACAGTCCTGCCTCATCCCGTGTGTGTGTGTGTGTGTGTGTGTGTGTGTGTGTGTGTGTGTGTGTGTGTGTGTTGGTTTGGTTTTTGCTATTTTGTGCTAGATGATCAAGCACTCTACCACTGAGCCACATTCCCTCCCTTCCGGCTTATACTTGATGCTTTTTTTTAAAGTTAGTTTTATTTAATCATTTATGAGTATTATGTATCACACGTGTTCCTGGTGCCTATGGGGGTCAGAAGACAGCATCCGATTCCCTAGAACTGGAATTACAGATGTTTGTGAGCCACCATCTGGGAGCTGGAAATCAAGCCTGGGTCCTCTGTATTAGCTCTTAACCAATGAATCAACACTCCAGCACTGTTTGATATTTTTGAGACAGGATCTCAAGTAGCCCAAGGTGTCCTTGAGTTCTACATAGCCAGAAATGATGAACTCCTAACCCTCATGCCTGCTTTCCTGAGGGCCAGGTTACAGAGTACACCACCTTGCCCAACTCTTTGACTTTTTATTCTATTATTTCCCAGCCCTTAAACACCGCCCCCCCCCAAGCTTAAACAAGTAGAAACACTCACCAGGTGTGGAATTTATAGCCACGAGGAACAAAGTTCACAGAATTGGGACACTATCTCTGAGCTGTCAAACAAACAAATCATAGCTCTTTAAAAAGCATGTTTCACAAAGGAGTAAAATATGAGACTTTTTAGGACAGAACAGAACTTAAGAGTCAAGACTCACACACAGCTGCAGTTCATACTCACCTCCAGTGTGCCCTCGGAGTAGTTGTAACAAGAAAAGACAACTTCAGGATGACACCACAAAGCCTACCCATCCAACTAGACCTGGAGGGAGTGAAGGGCTTCAGAGCTCTTCCTCAGGCCTCCTGGCTGCCATCACAGACTCTCCAGCAGACAGACATTCAGCGCAAACTCTCTCTCCAGTGAAGCCCTGCTCTCCGGTTTTCCTGTCACTGTTTGGCTATGATCATGGAGCAGACAGCGCCAGCATTCTGCAGAGTAAATACAGGCATGCACAGCCACCCCCAACTCTTAACTTTCATTTGTAACAGGACAGGAAGTGCCTGCTCAACTCAAGGGACACAGGAAGGGTGGGAACAGCCTCAATGTGGGAATTGCAACTGAGAATGGAAACAGCCCAATACAGTAAATAAGTAAATAATAGCATCTCTCAGGGGCATCGCATTTTTCAAGAACTTCCTTTTCCACCCTCAGAAACTTTCATTCATCATATCCCAATTCATTCTTGTGGTTTTAGACCAGTTGTTCTAAATGATATTAAGTGGTATCTCACCACGGCCAGTTCCAGACTAGCCAGGGCTATATAGTGAGACCTTGTCCCACAAATAAATAAATAAATAAATAAATAAATAAATAAATAAATAAAAGCCAGGCATGGTGATGCACACCTTTAACCCCAGAGGCAGGCAGGTTCTACAAACAAGTTCCAGTACAGCCAGGGCTGATACACAGAGAAACCCCTGTCTCAAAAAATCAATAATAATAATGATAATAAATTGGGTTTTTTTTCTTTTTTTTAATTTATTTTTTATTTTTTGGTTTTTCTAGACAGGGTTTCTCTGTATAGCCCTGGCTGTCCTGGAACTCGCTCTGTAGACCAGGCTGGCCTTGAACTCAGATCCACCTGCCTCTGCATCCCGAGTGCTGGGATTGCAGGTTTGCACCACCACCACCACCTGTTTTATTTTTAAAAAGCAAACTTGTTTTATTTTATTTTGAGTCAAGTTTCACTACCTAGCCTTCGCTAGCCTCCAGCTCAATGCTTCTCAGCTTCTTTCCTCTTGGGATAGACATGATCTACTGCACCCTGCTTTAATTTGCAACTGATACATAAAAGCATCAATATTATACATGCTAACCAACATCAGTCAGTGTTTTTATATATGTATACATTGTATAATATTTAGATCAGGTTAAAAATCTGTTCCTAGAGTCGGGTGGGGAAAAAAAAAATCTGTTCCTTCAAACATTTATCATTCGTGATGAAGACATTTTTTTTTTCTTCCTAGAGACAGGGTTTTGTTAATTTAGTCCAGTCCCTCAACTCACAAGCTAAGTGACCCTGAGAGAATTACCTCATATGTCTGAAACCTTAAAAGATTTACTTTTATTTATTTATGTGCGTGTGTATACATTCAAATTGCACAGTGTGCTTGTAGTCACAGAATGACTCTCAAGCTGTTCCCTGAGCTAGTTCCCTCCAGCTACCTGCAGGGGGGGGGATTGGACTCAGGTCCCAGACCCACGCACAAGTGCTTCTACCTGCTAAGCTATTAAACTAGTCTTTTTTTTTTTTATAGTCCCTTGTATCTCAGACTTTTCTTGTTTGCAAAATGGAGTAAATGACTACCTATTTCCCATCATTTTAAGTGAAACAAAATGAAACAGCTCCTTCACTCAGCCATAGGAAGTTCTTGACACTCAGTGAACAGTAACTAGTCCCATTATGACGAGTTACTGTTTCCCAGAGTGTATCTCCTTGAGTGTCATGTAACCAACATTGAAGACCCTAAGAGAACATTTCTGAAAACTAGTATCTTAGTTACATTCAAGATTATACTATGGGCTGGCAAGATGGCTCAGCTGATAAAGATAGCTGCTGTACAAGCCTGAAAACCTGATTCAAAACAGTGGAAAGAGAGAACCAACGCTCCCGAGCTGTCCTCCGCTTTCCATACATATGCCACGGCACATGTTTGTCCCAGTGCACAGACACACTCAGTAACCATACTTGTAAACTAATGTAAATCCTAAGACTATCCTAGGACTACTGGGAGTTGAGGCTCACACCTGTAATCTTAGCACTCAGGAGGATTTCCACAGTTCCAGACACACCTAGTGTACACGGAGTTCCAAGGCAGCCTGGGCTGCATAGTTTAGTCCTGTTAGAAAACAAAGCATGTTCTAGGATGGACCAAGGAGGCTCAGCTACACACCAGGAAAACATCAGAGAAGTTTTGCAGATGTTTGCAGATCTTTACAGCTAAGCCCACTTTTCTGAGTTCTAACTCAAAAGGCATGACCTCCCCCCCACCCCGCGCCCCTTTATCTCTTCTTTGGATGCTGTCTTAAATCCTAAGCAACATTTCCCTCTCTCTAGACCTTCTCACTTTTTCTCTGTGGGGAGAGTCTTCCCCCTGCCCACAATGCAGCTGCTTGCAGACCTCCGATGATGGATCTGCCTGCTTTCTTGGACCCCAACTCCAAAGGAATTAACTTTCCTTCTCCCTCTTAAACTACCTCTTCCTCCCGGCCTCTGCCAAGATTGACAGCTTGTCTGCCCCGTTGTTTTCCTTCAAACTCTGAGAAAATAGTCCCGGAGCTCCAAAAGGAAAAAAAATTTTTTAAATGGAAAAAGAGCTGCAAACCAGGCATGGTGACACCCGCTGTAATCCCAGCACTCAGGAGGACCCGAAACTCAAGGTCCTCTGTGGCTGCTTGGTGAGTCTGAGGCCATCCAGGGCTATAGAACTGTCTCAGGAAGGGGGTGCGTGGGGGGGCGGGAAAGAGACAACAGTTAAGTCTCCAGACACATAAAAGTCATACTTTCTCCTAGATATACTACTCTATTTTTATAATCAGTCCAATAAATTTAGGGCCACAGAAGTAAAATGTCCCAGATGTACAAACTGATTAAAAAAGAAAAGTTAGGTCAAAGGGCATAAACACCACTAACCAACTAGAAACTGCAATTCTGGTGAGTACATACACGTTGTTTTGTGGTGCTAGATATCAGACTCAAGTCCAATAGAGCGCATCTACCCGTGAGCTTCATCCCTAGGAGATTTTTACATTTTTTCCTCTTTTTTTTTTTTGTTTTTGTTTTTTTGAGACAGGGTTTCTCTGTGTAGTTTTGGAGTCTGTCCTGGATCTTGCTCTGTAGACCAGGCTGTCCTTGAACTCACAGAGATCCACCCGCCTCTGCCTCCCGGCACCACCTGGCAAGAGTCTATCTTAATAAACCAAAAACAAAACAAACAAACAAAAAAACCAAAACCTTTTTATTTTTGTGACTGTGTGTATATGCCTGCCAAAGCCCGAAGAGGGCATTAGACCTCCCTCCTGAAGCTGGAGCTACAAGCAGCTGTGTGGGCGCTGGGAATCATACTCAGGTCCTCTGGAAAAACAGCAAGCACTCTTGGCCTCTGAGTCCATCTCTCCAGCACATTTTTTTTTTTTTTAACAGAGTTAGCTGTGGTTACACACAGCCCTTGAGTTGCAGAGGCAAAAGGATTCAGAGCTGGAGAACTGTCTCAATTACATAATGAATTTGAGGCCAGCCTAGATGACATGTGACCCCCTGGCCCTCACATACAGGTATACCTTTCCTGTGAGTGACAACACTCGTGACTATCCCCACCACCCTGGAAGCTGAAGCAGGACAATTGCAGGAGATCTCCTGGGCTACACAGCAAGATCTCGTCTCAAAACAAAAACAAAAAAAGAAAAATATACTTTCAAATAAGAATCACAAAGGTTTGGAGATAGATGGACCTTAGTCTGAGGAAAGACTCCTATTATGTCTCTATTGGCCTCCAAATCTGGGTGAGGAGCTGAGATAAACGTATTACCTGCAGATGTGCTGGACTCTAGCCAGTACTCCACTACAGCCAGTTTACGTGTTCTCAAAAGTAGGAAGACGGGCCAGCGTGCTAGGGAAGGTCTCAATACACTTCAGGGACCAGGGAACAAGGTCTAACAGAGCCAAGGCACTCACCTCCAACACACCCCCATCTCCACTGAGTAAAGTGCCTGCCCTCAAGTATTCTGTAACGGAAATCATCTAACGTGTTGAATTCATCTCCCTGTAAAGAGAAGAGGAAAAGCAGGGTTAGAAAGAAATGGAAAAAAGAAGGCTGAGGTGTCAGCTGGTAGGTCGCTTGCCTGTCATGAATGTCAGGGTTTCAGCTGCTGCAAGAAAACACCATCATGAAAAAGCAGGTTGGGGAGGAAAGGGTTTATATGGCTCACACTTCCACATTGCTGTTCATCACTGAAGGACATCAGGACAGGAACTCACACAGGGAAGGAACCTAGAGGCAGGAGCTGACGCAGAGTCCATGGAAGGGTGCCGCTTACTGGCATATTCATCATGGCTTGCTCAGCCTGCTTTCTTATAGAACCCAGGACCACCTGCCCAGGGATGGCACCACCCACAATGGGCTGGACCCTCCCCATTGATCACTAATTGAGAAAATGCCTTACAGCTGGATCCCATGGAGGCATTTCCTCAGCTGAGGCTCCTTCCTCTCTGATGACTCTAGCTCGCGTCAAGTTGACACATAAAACCACCTAGTACACTCTTCCATGTCATAATCCCTCATTAAGGGAACACAAGGCAGGAACTGAAGCAGAGACCACGAGGAAACAATGCTTACTGACTTACTTGCTCCTTTTTGTTGTTGTTGTTTTGAGACAGGGTTTCTCTGTGTAGTTTTGGTACCTGTCCTGGATCTCGCTCTGTAGACCAGGCTGGCCTCGAACTCACAGAGATCCGCCTGGCTCTGCCTCCCGAGTGCTGGGATTACAGGCGTGTGCCACCACCGCCCAGCTCCTGACTTGTTCCACTGGCTTTTTGATACAGCACGGCTCACCTGCCTTAGGGATGGTGATGTCCACGGTGGGATGGGTCAGGAAAATGCCCCAGAGACCTGCTCATAGGGCAGTCTGATGGCGGTAACTCTTGAATTGCTCTCTTCCCAGGTGTGTCAAATTGACTGTCACGCTCACCCATCACACACTCCTACACTCAGCTCTAACTATACTGGTTTTTTTTTTTTTTTTTTTTCAGTTCTGAAAAGCAAATCCAGAGTTTCTTGCATGCTGGACAAGTACTCTAGAGATACACCGAAGCCCCCACTCTACCTCTGGCTCCCAGATCCCCAGATTGTGAATAACTATGAAGTAGGAATTCTTTTTTGTTTGGTTGGTTGGTTTTTCGAGACAGGGTTTCTCCGTCTAGTCCTGGCTGTCCTCAAACTCACTCTGTAGACCAGCAGGCTGGCCTTGAACACAGAGATCTGCCTGCCTCTGCCTCTGCCTCTGCAATCCTAGGATTAAAGGCATGCACCACCACCTTGAGGCTAATCTTTTAATCTTTACCACGTGTCTTGGTTTTCTACTGCTGTAATAAAACACAATTAGAAAGGGTTTATTTCAACTTACATGTCCCTAAATCAGTCCATCATGAAGGGAAGGCAGGGCAGGAGCTGAAGCAGGGCCCATGGAGAAATGCTGCTTACTGGCTTGCTCAGCCTGCTGTCTTAAACAACCCAAGACCACCTGCCCAGAGGTAGCAGTACCTTCAGTGGGCTGGGCCCTCCCATATCAATCATTAATTAAGAAAATGCTCCACAGACTTGCCCGCAGGCCATTCTGATTGAGTCATTTTGAGGTTCCCTTTCCCCAAATAACACACACACACACACACACACACACACACACACACACACACACACACACACACACACACACCCCAACCAGGACACCATCCAAACATAATTTAGATTCAAGAATGCTTGCTGACAGAATGGAATTTTCATCCTTTTTAGAACGTCTCTAGCGAGAAAGTTAACCCCAAAGAATACTAGGAGAAACACTGCCATCTGCTGGGCAAAGCAGGTCATGCTTCCTTTAGGAAACAGGATCCAAGGAAGGTCAGAAGTTGGAGGGGAGAGGGAGGTTTTATTTTTATTATTGGGGAGCAATAATAAAAATACGTACACGTGTAAGTCAGAGGACTATATTGTGGAGACGTTTCTCCACTTTCAACCTTACGAATCCCAGGGATCACACTCGGGCCGCCAGATTCGGATTTGAACAGCATTTTACCCACTGAGTGGTCTCAGTCGCCCCAACTTTAGCTGTGGTTTGTTTGTGTGTGTGTGTGTGTGTGTGTGTGTGTGTGTGTGTGTGTGTGTGTTTGGGGGGGTGTCACTATGTGGTACAGGCTCACCTTGAACTGTTCATCCTTCAGTCTCTACCTCAAAAAACCAACGTGTCCCTGGGACGAATTCTATAGGCAGAACTATGTCCAATCAGCTCCCAGGTGAGAGGAAAACGCAGTAAAGCAGAAACTCATTCCTGGCAACATAAAAAAGTTAATTCAGAGAAGCAGGGCTATAAAGGAAGCGAATAGCTTCTGGGTGCTAACTAGAAATTCCCTAACCCATGGCATTTTTCTCTTGAACAGACCTATTTCTCATGAAAAAAGGATAAGATTAGCCTGTCATATATACTTAAGGAAACCCTACTGGAGGGCTGAGAAGACACTTCGGTTCGTCAAGTACTGGCTATGTGAGGATAAGGACTTGAGTTCAGATCCCCAGCACCCACATAAAAAGCTGGGAGCTGTAACTCCAGTGTTGAGGTATTGCTGGCCATCCGAGGTCTTGCTGAATCTGTTAGGTCCAGGTTCGTGAGGGACCCTCACTCAAAAAATATGTTGGGGACTAGAGAGATGGCTCGGCAGTTACCACTGGCTGCCCTTGCAGAGGACCCAAGTTCAGTTCCCAGCACCCACATGGCAGCTCACAATCATCTGCAACCCTGGTCTCAGGGTTACCTTTCTGGCCTCCACAGGCACCAGGTATTATGTGGTGCACACACATCCATGCAGGGGGAACACTATAAAGGGGAAAAGGTAGTCATGGTGGCACACACCTTTAATACCATCACTTGGGAGGCACAGCCAGGTGGATCTCTGAGTTCCAGGCCAGCCTGGGCTACATGGTAAGACCTGGTCTAAAAAAAACCCAAAACAAACAAACAAACAAAAAAACCTTTAAATAGACAAGTTGGAGCTTCACTGAGAAAGACACCTGATGTCACCTCTGATCTTCATGTGCGCATGCGCACATAAACTAATGTTTAATTAAGTTTATACTGAGTGTTAAGGCTCTTAATTAAATACAGGCATGGTGTTACAGATGTGTATAATCTCAGCTACTCAGGAGACTGAGGCCGGAGGGGTAAATTTGAGCCCAGCAATGTAAACTAGTCCCTGTCTCAAAAACCAAAAAGACACGGACGGGGATGCCCAAATGGTGCTTGCATAGCGTTCAGGAAGCCTTGGGTTCAGTCCCTAGTCTGGGATAACCGGGCGAGGTGACTGCAGCCTATAATCCCTGCCCTTGAGAGGTAGAAGCAGAACGGTCAGAGATTCAAGGTCAACCTTGGAAAGCACATTCAAGAACACTCCGAGAGACACCCTATCTGAAAAGCAAGACCCAAGCAGTTCGCTTTCGGGTCAAAGCCAAGAGCAGGGCAGCAAGCTGTGGTCCCTGAATTAGAGGCAGTCCTATGGAGAGGCGAACAGAACACAGGGGATGGCTAACAGTGGGAGGAGGTCCGCCTGGTTCCAAAGGAAATACCCACTCCGAACAGGAAGAAGAGCTGCCGGTTCTACTAAACACACAAGCACGGTTTGATATTTATTTTCCCGTGGTGACATTTGTTTGTGGCAAGTTCTCCTCACATAGCCTGTTCGAGCTCGCCCTCCTGGCCCTCCTACCCAAGCTTCTCAGATGTTGGGATCTACAAGGACCGCACCACATCACTCCCGGTCAGTAGCATGGCCATTTAAATTCAAAAATGAAAATTAAGAGTTTTGTAATGTAGCTCAAGAGACAACGCCCAGCACTATCTCCACAGCACAAAGTAACCTTTTTCAGGAGTGAGGTTGTTTTCTCCTGGGTTAATTCAGTTGTCAATTTTGGAGAAGGCTGCATGGAAGAGAAAGTGTGTAATCTGAGGCTTGTGTCTAATTTCAGCTCTGAGTTATCTTATACAGTCTTAACTTTCTTTTTATTAAAAAGCTGTTTTGTTTTTTTTTTTAAAAAAAAACATTTAGTTATCGGGGGGGGGGGGCACATTGTCTATGTTCTTTCTCTCCTTCCGCTGTGTGGGCTCCAGGGCTTGAATGCAGGTCTTTGTCAGACTTAGCAACAGGCACCTTTACCCACCGAGGCTTCTCTGTTCTGAGTTTCCTCTCTTCAAAACAGGCCTAATAACGGCTTCACAGGTCGCTGCTGAGGAGAGAGAAATTAGGTAGTGACACACTCAATCACAGCTGTTCATATAACGCCTGCTGAACAAAAGCGCTAGGAGGAGGTGTGCCCGCCCATGCCAGTGAAAGCCCCCACGCAGCCCACACTGGCCTTGGACTCCTTAGCAGAACAGAGTCTTGAACTCCTAACCTCCCTGCCCCCATGTGCTGGGACTACAGGGGTTCTGACCACCAGACCCTTAATTCTCAAAGGCTTCTGCGTAGTATTTTCTTCATCAGAGAGAGGGGTAGGAGATCAAAACAGAGAAAATTGGGCCAAAGCCTTTGATCCCAGCACTCCGGAGGCTGAGTCAGGTGAATCTGTGAATTTGAGGCCAGCCTGGTCTACCTATGGTCAAGAAAGCTAGGGCTACATAGAGAGACCCAGTCTCAAAAATAAAAACATAAAAATAAAAAAAACTGGGGGAGCGCTTACATAATGTTTTGTGTTTCTTTGCTTGTTTTCTCTCTCTCTCTCTCTCTCTCTCTCTCTCTCTCTCTCTCTCTCTCTCTCTGTGTGTGTGTGTGTGTGTGTGTGTGTGTGTGTGTGTGTGTGTGTGTGTGTTGCACACACTTGTAATCCCAGCATTTGAGCAGCTGAGGCAGAAGGTTTGCCAGGAGTTCGAGGCCAACCGTGGCTACAAATTGAGTGCTAAGGCAACACGGGCTGTATCACAAGACCCCGTCTCTAACACAACAACAACAAAGGTTTTCGTGTTCACTGGCTTAAATTTTTTTTTTATTTAGAGATCTTTCTATTCGTTTTACATATCAACCACGGATTCCCGTGTCCTCCCTCCTCCCGCCCTCACTGACTTACTTTAATGCAGGAACTTTACAGAAAGAACTTAAGCCTTCCACGGACACCAAATAAACTGGAGGGAGATAACGCTAAGAACCCCGCACCCTCACGACTCGCACTGAAGCGCGGCTGTTCCCGGGCGGGGATGCTCTCCACTCACCGCCCGCGCGCGTCAGTGGCCGCTGCGCTTTGAGCCCGCAGCCCGCCCAGCGCGTTCCGACCTTCGAACGTCGACGGTCGCTAGACGGCTCCTGCGTCCCGCTCTCTCCCATCCTTCCCTCTGGAGCAGCATTTTCATCTGCACCAGAGAATCCCATCTCCTCCAACTCCAGCTGCGCAGAGCCAAGTTTTCTCTCCCCGCCACCACCGCAGTGACGTGCCCGGAGGTCCGCGGGCGCAGGGACCTGGCTTCCACCGCCTCCGCGCCGCTCCCTCTCCCTCGATGATTGGTCGTGGGCCCTGTCCATCTGGACTCCAGGTCCCGCCCTCTCCCCACCCAGCGGCTTGCAGCGGCTCTCACCGCTACCCGCGGCGCTCCGATCTGGAGGCAGTCAAGGGGCTATGGGTGCACTTGCAGGGTCCCGGCCGCCCCGGGGCTGGCCCCTCCCCCGGCCCCACCTCCGCCCACCCAGCCGGCCCTTTACGTCGCAGGCTGGGCTCGCCGCGGCCGGACTGTTCCCCCACTCCTAGGCTCGCCCGCCACTCTTCTGCCCCTCCCTCCTCCCCGCCGCTCGCACGTCTGGAGCGCCCGGGCAGAGCGGGTGGCGCGCCGGGGGCATGCGCTCCATGAGGGCTCTGCAGAACGCGCTGAGCCGCGCGGGCAGCCACCGCCGGCGGGGAGGCTGGGGTCACCCGAACCGGGGCCCGCTCCTGGGCGGGGGCCTCCGGTACCACTTCAGGGAGGCCGCGGCGCAGGGCAGGGGGACGCCGCACAGCCACCAGCCGCAGCACACCACCGATCAGTAAGGCTCGCGGGACAGGGGCAGGGGACAGGCTGGCTCCCACTCCCGCTGTCGTTCTCGCTCGCTCCCTGGGAGTGCCCTTCCCCAGAGAGCGCCTCTCACCTCCTCTCCGAGCTCACTAGCCTGCGATGCCTTTTCCTTTAGATGTGGGGCTTTGGGTCCGCCGCGCTCGGGCGGCCAGGTGCCGTCCGCCCGGGAGGGCGTTTGGGCAGGTCGGTCTTCGAGATGATGCCTGTCCAAGGTGCGTACTTAATTGGGAGCGCAGATGGGCGCGCAGTGTTGCTTGGTGCCAGAGTCTGAGGGCAGGGCCGAGGGCACACCTGCCCATCCGCATCCCCTGTTCCTTCTCTGGTCCTGGTGTTTTAGGGAAGGTCGTGGGTATGGAACAGCTTCCTGCCCCGGGTTCAAGTGCACTTGGGTCTGTCCGTGTGGTGTTTCTTGTTCCTGCTTGTCGTCAGTGGGGAATGTGTGGTGCGCGTCATTGCCGATGCGCACGCAAGTGCGTATGTGTCCGGCGTGTTTTTGTAGCAGAGCTTAGCCGTTGAATATCTTACATGCAGGCAAAACACTCATACCAAGTTTCCCACTTGGTCGTTGAATGTGTTGATTATTCCTGAATGAGGAAAATCCGTGAGACACAGATTTTCCAAACCAGAGTCAGAGCTCTTCCGTTGCTCAGTCTCCCTGAACTGAAGAGTTTTCTCCTTCGGGCCCATCTTCAAACCAGGGAGTCGACTGCAGCCGCTGCCACCACACTGCCCAGGCAGCGGGGTGGACAGTATTGGAGAGTGATGGGCTCTGGGAGTGTGACACCATGAGGTAGAGGGGTTTCTGTGTTTGGAAGGTAAAGGAGGGCAGCAAAGAGGAAATACCTTGTAATGCAGATTATTTTAAAATGCTTAGTTTAGGGCTTGAGAGGTGGCCCACTCATTTAGACTACTTGTTACTCTGGCAGCGAACCTGGGTTTGATTTCCAGCACCCACATGAGGACTCACAACCACACTCCCAGGCTTTCGCGTGTGTGCATTCATATACATAAAATAAATCTTTTAAAAACATTTAAAAATAAAATACCTAGCACCGGGCATGGTGGCTAAAACAATGTTGTTTTTTGAGACAAAGTTTCTCTGTGAAGCCCTGGCTGTCCTGGACCTCGCTCTGTAGACCAGGCTGGCCTTGAACTCAGAGATCCACCTGTCTCTGCTTCCCAGTGCTGGGATTAAAGGTGTGCGCCTCTACCACCTGGCTTTATGAAGTTACTTTTTTTTAAATTTTTATTTTATGTGTATGGGGTTTTGCTTTACACATGTGTTTGTGTACTGCATTCATGCCTGGTACCTACTGAAAGGTCAGAGGAGGGTGTTGGATCCCCTGGAAATGGGGTTACAGATGGTTGTGAGTCACCATGTAGGTGGTAGGAATTGAACCCAGGGCCTCTGCAAGAACAAGTACTCTTAACCACAGAGCCAGCTCTTCATCTCTGGAGCACTTGATACTCTTGAAGAAGGCCCAGGTTCAGTTCCCAGCACCCACAGAGTGGTTAACAACTACTCCTAACTCTAGTTCCAGGGGATCTGGGTTATTCTGCCCTCTCAGGGCACCAGGCTGAGTGTGGTGATATATAACTAGTCCCAGCACTCAGGAGGCAGAGGCAGGCAGATCTCTGTGAGTTTGAGGCCAGCCTGGTCTACAGAGTGAGTTCCAGGACAGGCATCAAAGCTACACAGAGAAACCCTGTCTTGAAAAACCAATTAAAAGAAAAAAAAGAAAAAGAAAGAAAGAAAGATCCCAGTATTAGAATTAGACATAAATAGTTAATACTGTGATATATCCATATATAGCTTATATATATGTGCATATAATTTAACAAATGTAGAATTATAATATTCCTATTCTTTGGTAAGCTATATTTTCCATTTACGAGTTTTATATTTTAATTAATTGATTTTTAATTATTGTATGTGTATGAATACCACGTGCTCACGTGGTCAGTGGGTAACTGTGGAGTTGGTTCTTCCTTCTCCCTTTATGTGGCTTCTGGGGTTTCATGTGTCAAACTCAGATGTCCAAGGTTGCATGACAAGCACTTTTTTCTGCCGAGCTATATTCAGTTTTTTAAATGGCTTTTTAAAGTTTTATGTTTGTGTGTATAGATATTTTGCCTGTATATGTATAGCTGTGAACTGCTTGTTTGCCTTGTGCCTTGGGAGACCAGAAGAGGGTGTCAGATCCCCGGAGCTGGAGTTACAGACAGTTGTGAGCTGTCATATGGGTGATGGAAATCGAACCTGGGTCCTCTGTTTTTTGAAACAGTCTCTTATAGCCTAAGCTGGCCTCAAACTCTTTATGTAGGAGACCTTGAACTTGCCTCCACCTCCAGTTATGCATACCTCTTTTTGATTTGTTTTGAGACAGGGTTCCCGAAGTAGCGTTGCCTGGCCTGGAACTTCCTATGTAGACGTACTTGGCCTGGAACCTTTCTTGATCCTCCTGCCTCTGCCTCCCAAGAGCTATGGGATTATGAGGATATGCTGCTCCTTACTGGGCAAATGAGTCTTCCGACAAAGCAGGGGGCATCTGAGACTATGTTACTTTGTACATCTGAAGGATATATTTCTAGAAGTCGGCTTGTTGAGCAAAAGAACTTTAAAGGATCTGGATCTTAACTAGTTGTCCTGTTTGGACACAATCTGATACAGTATTTCCTCTGCTCTACGAACGGAGCTCAGTGGTAGGACATTGTCTAGCATGCCCAAGGCTCCAAGTTTGACCCCTCGAACCACACAAGAAAACAAAAATAGGGTTTTTTTCCCTTTTTCTTTTAGGTTTTTTTCTTATCTTCCCTTTTTTTTTCTTTTTCTTTTTTGGTTTTTCAAGACAGGGTTTCTCTGTGTAACCTTAACTGTCCTGGATCTCGCTCTGTAGAAAGGGCTGGCCTCAAACTCACAGAGATCCACCTGCCTCTGCCTCCAGAGTACTGGGATTAAGTCATTAGTCTACTTTTGAGCTGGACATGGTGGAGCATGCTTTTAATTCCAGCACTCAGAAGGCAGAGGCAGGTGGATCCCTGAGTTCGAGGCCAACCTGGCCTATAAAGTGAGTTCTAGGACAGCCAGGGCTACACAGAGAAACACTGTCTCAAAAAACCAAGAAAAGAAAAAAGAAAACAAAAGGTTTTCTAAGTATGATAACATTAATAGGAGAATTTTTGAAGACCAAGAAGTCTTTAGATCAATGGTTCTCAATTTCCTAATAATACAGTTATTATTAGGAACCTTCCTTCAATACAGCTCCTCATGTTGTAGAGACCCCAACCACAAAATTATTTTCATTGCTACTCCATAACTATAATTTTGCTACTGTTATGAATCATAATGTAAATATTTGTGTTTTCCTTATCTGCCTGTCTATCTATCTATCTATCTATCTATCTATCTATCTATCTATCTGTCTATCTATTCTTCTCTCATATATTACATCCCAACCACAGTTTCCCCTCCCCCCCCCCTTTTTCCAGTTCCTACCCTGCACCTCTTCTCTCCCCCATATCAGCTCCTCCTCCTTTCCCTTCAGAAAAGGGCAGGCCTTCCAGGGGTATCAACCAAAGATGGCATGTCAGGTTATAATAAGACTAGGCACCTCCCCTCATTAAGGCTGGATGGGGCAACCCAGTAGAAGGAAAAAGGTCCCCAAAGCAGACAGAAGAGTCAGAGACGCCCCCACTCCCACTGTGAGGAGTCCCACAAGAAGACCAAGGTGCACAACCATAACATATGTGCAGAGGACCTAGGTCAGACCCATTCAGGCCCCCTGATTGTCAGTTGAGTCTCTGTGAGCCCCTATGGGCTTGGTTAGTTGATTCTTGGATTTTCTTGCAATATCCTTGACCCCTCTGGCTCCTACAATCCTTCTTCCCCCTCTTCTTCAGGGTTCCCTGAGCTCCACTTAATATTTGGCCGTGGGTCTTTGCATCTGCTCTTATTACTTTCTGGATGAAGCCTCTGATGATGATTATGCTAGGCTCTGGTCTACGAGTATAGCAGAATATCATTAGGAAACATTTCATTGACTTTATTTATTATTATTATTATTATTATTATTATTATTATTATTATTATTATTATTGCCAGTTGTGTTTGGTTCTAATCCTGGGTTGTCCAGCAGCTGGTTCCTGGGCATCCAGGCAGTGTCAGTCATGGGCTTGGGTCTCAAGTTGGTCTAGTCATGTGCTGGTCACTAGTACAAATTCTGTGCCACCTTTACCATATCTTGCAGGCAGGACTAACTGTAGACGAAGAAGGTTTTGTGGCTGTGTTGATGTCCCAGCCCCTCCACTGGAAGCCTTGCCTGTTACAGAAGATGCTTGGTTCAGGCTTCCTATCCCCCCATTACCAGGAGTCTTCACTAGGGCCACTCTCATAGATTCTAGGGA